CATGCAGGTCTATTTCTGGGTTTTTAAGCTGTTGCTATATATTATTAATGGCCAAAAAAAAAGCTTTTAAAGAATTAAAAAGGCCCGTCTTCAGCAACTGTTTTTGTTTTTAAATTATAATTGTATCACTCTTTTGGGGGGGGGGGTTGTTTTTTTCTTCTTCTCCGTGATATTTTCCCGTATTTTTTTAACTTTACATAATGTATTAGCTTGGGAATTATTTCTTAGGGCAAAGTTCTATTTTTATTAGAAACTTAAGAGAGGACAAAAAGCTTGATAGTGCATGTATCGCGTGCGGTAGTGCACGCTGTGACAGAAATAAAATGGCTGCTTCTGCCCACGAGAAAACTTGGACTCCTCATAGAAGTCTACAGTTGCACCCCGGGGGCATCGGTCAGAGAGTGGGGGGGGGGGGGGGCGTACGTCTCGGGAACTTGGGAATGTCCATGACCAACTATTGGCGCGTAATCAGTTGACGGCAGGTATAACATTTTTAGTTTCCTTTGTGTTTTGAACTGTGCAACGCTGTAGTGTACTTTCAAAGAGAGGCTCGAACCAACAGTTTTCGGATTTGTTTCCCCTCATTCTCGATTAGGAAAGAAAAAGCTGCAGTTCAGGCACAGTTATGAGTATGGCATTGATGAATCAGCTCATTTACAATTTTACTGTGCATAAGAACACGTTAATGTCCCCCCTGTGGGAATGGCCTAAAGACACTTCAGTCAGTAGCATCGCCGCAGGGGGTTTCATTCTCGATTTAATCATCGTCGTGTTCAGAGGTATTCCTATACTATTTTGAAAGTTATTCTATATCTGTCCCCGTAGAATTATGCAAATTTAGAAGGCCAAATTATGCACAAACAAAGCAAAATTATGCAAGTTAGCGTAACACCATTCGCGACATGTTTTGCACTTTTTCAACACGAAGTTTCCTGATTTTCATGTTTTATGTGCAGAAAAATTGAAAACAGTACATATCAGTATCAGTAATTTGTTGTGTATTTGGAAAAGAAAACAAACACATCAGTAAAAAAAATAAAAAATTTAATATAAATATATAAAAATCCAACCAAAAATAATCTCTGTAACTTTCAGCTGTTACTGTAGATCTAGATCTACAGAGGAAAGGAAAATGTTTTTTTAAAAAAAAAAAAAAATCTGCACCTGTGATGCTGGTACGTTACTAAAACCAGGGACACATGTCAAACATGAAACATCAGCAGACATGAGAACAACAACTTTTGATGGATTGAAAAATTGAACATGCTCAATAATCAACTTTTCATTTAAATGAGACTTATTACGGTGATTACGTCCCTTTAGTCACATGGCGAGGCGTTAATTGTTTTGTGAAAAAAGGGGGAAAACGTGAAAAAACGCGGAAAATCCAAAATTATGCAAATGTTGCAGAATTACGCGAAAAAACGCGTGGCTGCACAATCGCATAATCCTACGGGGACAGCTATATTGATACTTGTGTTCTGTTCCGAGCTTCCCGACGATTTCTACTCATACGTCTCGACCTTGGGACGGTAGGTGGTCACTTGCATTTGCATGTTTATTTCCAGTCCCTCGTCCCCTGACCTTTTCAAATCACATGAATCTGCTGCAGATCATTTCTAAGCTTATTCTGAATGGTTATTCTTTCTGGGCAGTTCTTTGCATGTGATGGATTTATTGCCTTCTGAATCTCACCTCAACTGAATAATTAAAAAAAACAACTACAATTATAAATTCATAATTAAGATATGGGTTATCGATCAAGCAGGAACGAAATGTATACGTTTTAACATAGCTGCCACTTACCCGCTAAATAGCGGTCGTGTGAAAACTTAGAGAAATGCTGTTCTTACTTAACTTTAATATTCTGAATTAACAAGAAAACTGTAAATTATGCTTTGCTTGATGACATTTTGAACTTTAATTGATGGCATTCGACGCAAGTGCTCTCTGATAGACGCAATGTTGACCTGTGTATGCCCATAACAAACACAATTTGTCACTTTTTTAGGAAGGGCTGGAGTGGTAGACGCTTGAAGTTTGATTACAATGTACTTGTATTTTCTTAAACACCTTCAAAGTGTACAACAACCACACAGTGGCTATAGCCTTAACCAAAATCAGCTAGTCTGTTAAAAAATTGTGCAACACCAGGAGCAAGACGTCGCCGCCCTGTTGCGCAAGGGTTCCCTGGTGTAACAATCAGCTGGACTTACTGTGGCGTTTAGTGAACACACCTGGCCACGATCCGGCGCATAGGTTTCAGCATCACCGAGGGTCCGCGTTTTGATCAATTCCCGGCCAGTTTCGGTCAACTGAGAGCGTTCTTTATGATTGCAATTCCAACACCAGTGGGGAAGAGGGCAGGGGGTTCCCCCAATACTGGGGGTCAGAGTGCCGCTTGACTTAAACTAATCAAATTCCTTTACCTTTGATGCAGTCGGGGCCAGCCAGTTTGTTTTTGGTTGTTGTTGTTTTGTTTGTTCGGTTGTTGTTTTGTTTTTTTTTGGGGGAGGGGAGGGGGGGGTCATTGAAGGGGGGAAAAGGTGACTTTTTTAAACTCCAAGTTTAATTGAATATACCATGAGGTTGAATAATACCTTCTTTCAAGTTGGACTGAGGGTAAATATCCACCAACTACCAATCGGCTCAGTCACTGTTTTTGTTGCCAGTGGTCCTCCTTTGTGTCTTGGATAAACTGTCTTTCCAATTAACAGGTTTTAGGCTAATCAGTTGACATTATTTACAAGTATTTTGGTCATCTTTTGTATTTCGAACTGCTCAGCGAAGTAGCGTACCTTCAAAGAGAGGCTCGAGACAGTAGTTTTTGGGCTTTCTTTCTCAGTGGAGTGGGTGGTTGGCGGGTGCTCTGGTGTGGTTTGCTTCTTCTTTCCTATGAAACATCTATCGTCCTTATCTCCCCTTCTTCTTTTTATGTTTGTTACTCTTTTGTAACACCTCTAATCTTCTGGCGCTCATATGACCTTATGCAGTTGCGAGCGCCGTAAAACCTCTACTAAAACTTTCTCAGTGGCGTGGACGGACGTATTACTATAAGATTTGTGTTTTGTTAATTAATCTCAAGAATTTGCTACCAAAACAACGTCACGTCGCATTCGGTAAACGGCTCACTGACGTAACAATTAGCTGTTTTGTTATCAAACCTGGTCGCACCAAGTCAGCCCTTTGCTTTGTGTCAACTTCCACGCAACAAGGTAGAGCGTCCTTTGTGATTGGCAAGGAGGGTGAACGGGGCAGAAAGAGTAGTACAATGATTACGATCTACCAGAAGCACTTCTAAGAGAGTTCAGTTTCCTTGTGGATGGAGTTTTACTTGCATCCTCATCTCTACCAGAGAAGTCGTCCTTCTAGTCTGATAGGAGAGATGATATAGATGACAGGAAGGGCAGTATGTCAATAAATAAAAAGTGGAGATTTTGGCTTGAAGTGACTATTTCTGTCTCATCAGTTACCTATCTCGTGATACGTTATTATAACCTCACTCCCAACCAAAACATCGTCATGTTGCTTAAGTTTTAAGCGGCTCCCTGGCGTAAATATCAGCTGTTTGCCTTTTGCTAGCAAATCTGGTCCCACCGATATAAGCCGTGGCCCACTGTGTCAATTCACGCAACACTGTTGACCGTCCTTTGTCTTGTGATTGTCTTTGGGGGGGGGGGGGGGGGTAATACTGTGGGGATATAGGGCCTCTTGACCTGAGATTATATTTCCGAATTCAAACTGTAATTATTAGAGTAATTGTGAAGTCCTTTGCTGTGTGCATAAAGATAGTTCAGTAGCCATGTGGACGGCCGTATTACTATTCTGCGTTTTGTTCATCTAATCTTAAAAACGGTGTTTTTTAAGTTAGCACCTCAACCAAATCATCGTTACGTCGTTTTTAGTTAATCCAAACTCACTTTGACAATTCCAACGCAACATTGTTAACCGTTCTTTGTGATTGTGGGGGGGGGGGGGGTTCAATACGATGGGATAGAGGGCCTTTTTACCCGAGGTTATTTCAAAATTGAGTAACTGCTAGGTTGTTTGCTCCTTTATCTTTCCTATAAAAAGTCTATCGTCCTGACCTCTCCTTATGTTTGTTATCACCTTGTAGCACCTTTAATCTTCGGCACTTGTATGACCCTGTTGTGTTGTAAAGGGCGTAAAACTTCGTTATAACGACCATCCTATTTGGAATTCTTTCTCCAGGCATCATTGTTGAGAAGTCATCATGAACCAAGATTTGTGTGAGGAGTCCACGACTCATGTCCAGAAACTGGTCATCGGCCACACGATGGACGACTCTGAAACTGAAAGGAGCACGTTTGTTGGGGGTCATGACCTGAACCGTGGATTGGGATCAGGAGGTTCCTTGACTGGTAGTGAGGAGACGGCCATGGCTTGTGGGAAGGTGAGTTTCAGAACTCGGAAAAGAAAATGTTTGTTTGTCTGATCTCTCTCTCTCTCTCTCTCTCTCTCTCTCTCTCTCTCTCTCTCTCTCTCTTTCTCTCTCTCTCTTTCTCTTCTTTTGTGCCCCAATAGTGTTTATTCTTCTCTGCTCCTTGCCAGACTAATGCAGCTGTCCCACCCCCCTCCCCTCTCTTCCTCTCTCATCACTGAATATTATTAGCAACTTCCTTCCTTCCTTCCTTCCTTCCTTCCTTCCTTCCTTCCTTCCTTCCTTCCTTCATTCCGTCCGTCCTTCATTCCGTCCTTCCTTCCTTCACCCCTGTTCCTATCACCTGTTCTCTTCTCCCCATCCCTTGTTCTTTTTCGTCTTAAGTAAAAAAAAATAAAAAAAATACAGGTGACTATGTTCGTTTATTGTAAACAATCTTTGTTGCATATATGTCACGATTTCAATAAAGAATATAATGACTAATAATGTTTTGTCTTGTCTTTTCTCACCAGACAACACCCAACGGCTCAAGCTGTGCGGTGCTTGATCAAGATGTCGGAAAGGGTGAGTTAAATGCATACACCCTGGTTGTGTGGTTCTGTTCACTGAACTCTATCTCATTACATTTTTACTTGATTTCACTTTGTTCCCATTTAAGAATCTACTTCTCAACCTGTTGACTTTTTTTTTGAAGCTCACTTCGAAGGGTATCGAACATGATTTTATTTTTTAAATGGAAATTTGAATCATTATATTTATATTTTTAAATTCTAGCATTGGTTCAAGTACATTTATCGAATTGTGAAACATACGCCGTATAAAATAAGCCCAGATGTATATTATTATTATATTGTGCTCTGTCATAGTGTCATCACGGGGGGAGGGGGGGGGGGGGTGAGTTGACTGTGTCCTGGTTGCCGTTCTCCTTCTGTTAATAATAGTTTTGACTTTATAATCAGCACATCTGTTGACTAGATGCTGCTTTATTGTTTTGTCTTTTTTCCTCAATTGCCACAAATAGCTGAATGTCTGTACACAGTACTGCAACTGTGTCCTTATAATTATTGAATCAAACATTCATTCTTTTTCACAAATATTGGAGTGCAATACGAAATGCTTGTAGCTTGGAACCTATCCTTTTTGTACCGGTACTGAAAACGGTAAAGTATTCAAATTTTAAACAAAATTTCTGATGATAAAGCAGGGAATATATTACAACTTGTATGAGTTAATTCCTGTTGTGCAACGGGGTCTAACAAGTTTAGTTGATTTAAGTTTCATGACCGAGTTGTGACCGTTGAGATCATTTAAGAAACTGGCTGTTTAGATCCGATCTGTCAGGGCCAATCCAGAAGGAAAATTATACAGTGCCGTAGCAGGAAGGTGTGGATACTCGATAAAATAAACCCTTCCCTGCTTAGTGCCTTTCCAAACTCCCGGTGTATCTTGTTCTGCTTTACATGTACAAAATTACAACTGGGTCATATAATGCCAGCAAGCTTCTCAGGAGAGTCTGTTCTTTGTCTCTGTCTTCTGTGCTTTCCCTTGCACTAGGTGGCCTTCATCATGTTGATATGCTGCTCCCACTTTAAACTCGGCTCTTTAAAATACAACCCCTCCTTCTCTGTCTATTCCAGGCGCTAAGAAAGGCGAGAAGACGTCTATCTTTGGAGACGTGTCTAATGTCTTGTCTGTGGCAAACTTAACCCCTGCCTGGTTTGCTCAGTCGGGCCTGCTGTCCCTAGTGCAGACTGAATACACGTCATCCTCATCGGAGCTGCTGTCATCGGCTAAGTCATCTTTGTTGGTTGAGGCATTGTCATCATTTGATCGGTCCTCGGTAGTGGAGACATCCTCATCACCTGAACCATCTCCCTCAGTTGAGAGATCTTCATCTGTTGACCCGTCATCATTTTCAGAGACACTTTCAACAAAGAAAGAAGATGAAGGGAACCAGGCGTCCATCAGTCCGTACTCTGGCTTGAGAAGGCTTAGCCTGAAGATGTCTTCAGTCGCCAGTAGCTCTTCCTCCATGCTCCCGGTACCCCCGCCGGAAAACAACAAGACTGACAAACTCAACAGCATCACCGAGCATGAGAGAGAGTCTGCTAGTGCTGGAGAATCCAAGCCCTCAGATAAAACCTCGCCGTGTTCATTGGTGTCTGCGGCGTCTTCAGCAAGACCCTCGTCACAACAGTCTGTAACTAGAATGACACCACGACCTTGTAACGTGTTCGTGTGCTCCAGGATAAACCCAGAGGTCAGACAGAAACAGGACCAGGGCTCCTCCGCATCTGGTGTTGCCGAAGGTGCCGCGAGACAAACCAGACCCCAGCGACCCCGTATCGTGTTTTCCTCCTTGGTCAACATAAGCCTTAGACTAGCTGAGATTTCGGCTGCTTCCATTGTCAAGAACGTCGGTCGACGAGTCAGCAAGAGGCCGAGTTCCCCGTCGAGCTGTTCCAACGCTGCCCTGTTTCTCAAGACATCAACCCCTCCTCCTCTGCACCCAGACTCTAACGACACAGATTTTAGCTGTGTGGGAAGACAGGAACAGTTTACACAGATACAAGATAGACAGGCCTTTGCTCAATTACCCATCGTAACTGTCTCTAGAATGCCGCCAATGCCGAAGTTCTGGGAATACAAACCTCTTGAGTTTAATGAGGTGATCGTGGTCCACGCGGAGAGCCCAAGTAGTTTTGTGGTAAGGAAATTATTTTATGTTCTAATCCACTCACTCATGATGTACCGTATTATCTAATCTCATTAACTTGCTCAATCGTTCATGCACCCACCCATTCATTTACTTCTTCACTCATTCATTCATTTAATATTTACTTATTTACTCATTCATTCTTTTACACACACACACACACACACACTCTCTCTCTCTCTCTCTCTCTCTCTCTCTCTCTCTCTCTCTCTCTCTCTCCCTCTCTCCCTCTCTCTCTTTTTCACATGCTCATATACTCAGCAACTTACTCTCCCATCAATCCATTCACGCACTCACTAACTCATTGCCTCACAAACTGTCTCTTTCATCCATGCGCTCATGACATCATAGGTACTGCTTGCTACTCACACTACTAGTTTCTTCTACTGAGCTGGTAGCTTTAAATTTGAACTGATCTTTCTTTTTTTTCCAATTTTATTAGGGCACCAGTAGTTGCTGCTTCTTTTTAAAAGTTTCAACTTTTATAAAATCTTACGGAAGTGTTGTTATGTTGTGGTGTTTTTTTTCTTTTACTCAAAATCTTACACATAAACCATTGTCCTTACAATAAATTTTTCTTTTTCCTTTTAGGCAATCCCAGAAAAGATGAAGACTTCTCTTGAGATGATGGAGAAGGAAATTGAGGAGAACTTCCTCTCACCAAAGCCTGTGAGTGTTCTACATTCATTCTTTATTTCTATGTTTTTTCATACTCTCAAAAGATCAACCAATGGGACGGGGGGGGGGGGGGGGGGGGACAGACTGACAGAGAGAGTGTGTGTGGTGTAGGAGAGTGCAGAAAATAGAGAGATTGAAATATAAATGAGGAGAGAGAGAGAGAGAGAGAGAGAGAGAGAGAGAGAGAGAGAGAGAGAGAGAGAGAGAGAGAGAGAGAGAGAGAGAGAGAGAGAGAGAGAGAGAGAGAGAGAGAGAGAGAGAGATGAAGCCAAGGATAGATTTTTTATTCTACCTCTATTTCTGTTCACAGCATGTCATCTGCCTGTGTTACAAAACCTTGTACTATTTCTGTTCACAGCATGTCATCTGCCTGTGTTACAAAACCTTGTACACTGTCAAAGAGAAGGGGTATGAACAGCTCATGTCTGTTTATTCAATTGTCTTGATGTTTAAAGCATTTACACTGAGTGGTCAGTATCTAAATTGGGGTTGTCTTGATGTTTAAAGCATTTACACTGAGTGGTCAGTATCTAAATTGGGGTAGTAGGCCTACAGACAGTCAACAACAACTACATTAAAAAAGTAACAACCAAAGGCAAACAAAACGAAAAGAAGTGAAAAGGTCCATCTTCATTATGCTTCAAGGGCTTTTTTGCAGCATTCCGATCACCCGTATGTTACACGGTACAATTTCTCCATGAGGGTCCAGGGGTTGGTGAAGCCTCATTTGTCTCCAAAAAATAAATGTTTTCTGCAGGTGTCAATAGATGTTCTCAGCTCTTTGGTCGGTTATTCCACTGAACAATTCATGGTCATAGAAATCAAGAGATTCATGTAGATAGTATTACAGTCATAAAAAAAAAATTAGAACTACATGTAGTTTTCTAAAATATCAGTGTATTCCAGCTCATATGATAGAAACCTGTATTATGATGGAGGGAGAGTCAGAGAGAGAGAGAGAGAGAGAGAGAGAGAGAGAGAGAGAGAGAGAGAGAGAGAGAGAGAGAGAGAGAGAGAGAGAGAGAGAGAGAGAGAGAGAGGTGTGTTTACAATCGTTCATTAGAATCTTCTCTTTGTCTCCCCAGATCCAAGTCTACTACCCGGACCACGGTAGATTTGACACTGTCTTCCCACCACAACTGTTCCAGCTTCCGAAACGGTTCTACGCCATGCCCTTCCTGGCTCATCGGATGGGGCTTGGAGGTAACGGCTGACAAATAGTTCCTAGGCTACTTTGTAGTTTGTTCTCTAGTCTCTACCCCTCATTTTTCATCTTTCAGAAGTACGGTAGTTTTTGTTTATTTGTTTTTTATCTCTCAGTTTATTTCTCTCTTACTAAACTGATTCTTTCTCTCGCTCCCAATCTCTCTCTCTCTCTCTCTCTCTCTCTCTCTCTCTCTCTCTCTCTCTCTCTCTCTCTCTCTCTCTCTCTCTCTCTTTCTCTGCTCTCTCTTTCTCTGCTCTCTCTTTCTCTGCTCTCTCTTTCTCTGCTCTCTCTCTTTCTCTGCTCTCTCTGTGTCAGTATATCTTCCCTCTTACTAAACCGTCTTTCTCTCTCTCTCTCTCTCTCTCTCTCCCTCTCTGTTACTCTCTCTTTTTCATTGTCTGCTCTCTCTGTGTCAGTACATTTCCCTCTTACTAAACTACTGTCTTTCTCTCTCTCTTTCTTTCTTTCTCTCTCTCTCTCTCTCTCTCTCTCTCTCTCTCTTTCTCTCTCTCTCTTTCTCTGCTCTCTCTCTTTCTCTGCTCTCTCTGTGTCAGTATATCTTCCCTCTTACTAAACCGTCTTTCTCTCTCTCTCAATCTCTCTCTCTCCCTCTCTGTTACTCTCTCTTTTTCATTGTCTGCTCTCTCTGTGTCAGTACATTTCCCTCTTACTAAACTACTGTCTTTCTCTCTCTCTTTCTTTCTTTCTCTCTCTCTCTCTCTCTCTCTCTCTCTCTCTCTCTCTCTCTCTCTCTCTCAGTATATTTCTCTCTTACTACTTTAACTTTAACTGATTCGGTCTCTCCCTCTCTATTTCTTTCTTACTGAACAAATACTCCCCCCCCCCTTTTCCCTTCCCCTGTAGTAATGCGTCGTTCATCATTCACCTCAAGTTAATAAGATGTACTATTCTGCTTCCTCCTCTGCTCAGCGATCACTCCCATCTCCAACAAGTGGTCCGAAGCCTCCAAGTTCTACTTCATGTCCCGTGTCATGAACAAGATCGTCAACGCTTGCGTCGTACCGGCACCCAACAGCACTGAGCAGGACCCACAGGACGAAGCCAAGGCCAACCCCAGCAGTTTTGATTTAAAGCCTTTAGAGGTACCGATAAGCTAGATTTACATTTCTTTTGGGATTGTTTGTAGTTTTCTTGTTTGAGTAAATTAAAGCACTTTGGCGCTTTAACGGCTACATGTATTTAGTACACGCAGAAGGAAACAGCAAGACAGGAAGAGAGACGGGGGAGGAATGAAGTAGGAGGGAACTTCTGGAAGTGAAGACATGTGAAGTATGAAGAAATACCGAAGACAGCGCCCCTCCCCTTTTTCACCTCCTCCAATTCATAGTATATTTCCTCCCCCCCCCCCCCCCCGAAATATAAATTTAGAGAGTGTTTTTGCTTGGAGGAACCAAAGTATGGAATTTTGTGAGGTTGTTTTTCCTCTGAATTAAAAGTGACCAAAATTATTTATTTTTTTATAGAATATTTTTTCATGTCTTTATTCTTTGTCTTCGGCAGGTTCATCTCATAGATGCCTCTGGAGAAGATGACGAGGTCATCGGTGATCTGCTGTGTCTTAAGGGCTATGCTCGGCGTCCATGACCTCCAAGTGACATGCACCCACGATGTGTGTGGAGGTGTAAAGGACTAGGGTCACGGGCAAACTTTAATGTCCCTTCACCTCAAGCTTTCGCTCGATAGTCTTGGGGCGACATGTACTCCCTCCCATAAAGACAAATAAACCACACAAAAAATCTTGCAAGAAAATTCACACACACCCTCATGATTTGCTTAGAGAAAGTCATTCAAGTCATTGATAAACAGACTTTAGGGCTTTGTTTGGTGACCCAGGGTCCACCCACTTGGACTGAGTGAGCACGAACACACACAGGCTCACGGCAATATTTATGAGCACCAAATGAGTCCACAAAGATGTACTTAATACTGGAAATTCCCATCTGAAACCTTGTTGATGTTTTGTTTGTTCTTGCTTTGAAAAATAAAACGAGCAAAATTTAACTCTACATGAGCTTATGGTTTGTTATTTTTTGTTTGTTTTAATCTTTTGTTTTGTTTGCTTTCTCTATAAATCTGTGTAGAGTTTTACATAGGGTTTTCCACCAGTCATGTTCCTCTGTTATTTCTGTCTGGAGCGGATGTGTTTAAATCTACAGGACAGTTAGTTAGCTTTTTGTGTTTATATTTTGCATAATCTTTACTCACTGATAACCTGTCGCATTCACTCCGAAACGAATTTCAGCACAGTTAAGTTACCAAAGAGGCAAAAGACTCCTTATTCTATATATTATGTTCCATTTTGAAAACCTACACGTACTTAGACGGAGATTTTAAAAGAGCGCGGCTTTAAGTACATTTTTACACACAGTTCAAGCGTCTGAGAGGCAGTGCCCAGTGACAATATTGACAGGTGTTAATGTCCCTCACTGACCAATCGTAACCCTGTCCCCGTAGAATTATGCAAATTTAGAAGGCCAAATTATGCCCCAAAAATACCAAATTAAGCAAAAATTATGCAAGTTACCGTAACACCATTTACACTTTTTCAACAGGAATTTCCATGATTTTCATGTTTTATGTACAGAAAAATTTAAAATAGAACATATCAGTATCAGTAATGTGTTGTTTATTTGGAAATAAAATAATACACTTCAGTAAAAAAAAATTTTAAAAACCACAAAAAAAACCCAAAAAATATAATCTATGTAACTTTCAGCTGCAGATCTAGATCTGGACCTCTGATGCTGGCACATTACTAAAACCAGGGACACTTGTCAAACATGAAACATCAGCAGACATGAGAAAAACAACTTTTGATGGATTGAAAAATTGAACATGCTCAAGGAACAAAATCCCAACCCATAATAACCAAGATTTTCTAACAAGGGAAATAACCAGCTTTTCACTTAAATGAGACTTATTACGGTGATTATTTCCCTTTAGTCACATGGCGAGGCGTTAATTAATTGTTTTGTGAAAAAAAGGAAAAAAACCTGAATAAACGCGGGGAATCCAAAATTATGCAAATGTTGCTGAATTACGCGAAAAAAACGCGGCCGCCACGCTATGGAACAATCGCATAATTCTACGGGGACAGGTAACCGGACGTTACAAATGCATTATGTAATATCGAACAGATTAAATCTTTTTTATCCCCATCCAGAGC